TTTGATAATCACCAAATTGCCTTGTGATGTTGTCCAGTATCCAGTATTGAGTTTTATTGACTAAAATATCAATGCAGCATTTGTAATGTATCACAGTATTGCTTATCAGGGATGTACTATATATATTTTCTCAGCCAGAAGTTAAGCAACTAAGAGTAAGTGATCATGAGAGGAATTTATTCTGTGTGGAACAGCTATCGTGATAGAAAAGTAACACTGTAATATCATAACCTCTGAGCTGTGTGATTATTCATAAAGGGTTGTTATTTTATTCTGAAGAATGTTCTACGGAAAAAAAAAAACTTATGAATGTAAATGTGTGAGTAATATTAGGATTTTTCAGTTTTTTGGTAATTTTTTTTCCTTCAATATTTTAAAAATTTTTGTGTGACTTCATAACGAGAATGTGGCTGTCGGAGTGTAGCTAGCCAGGCCGTGTGAGAGCTCGCGTTACAGCGCGGTTATCGATCGGGCTCTGGGAACAGCCCGCGGAGGGCTCAGTGCGGAGGCCGAGGCAGAGGGCGTGGTGGAGACGACGGGTCCGCTGTCACGGCCGGGGAATCCGATTCCTGCAGGTGCAGGGATCGGGTGACGCGACGGCCGCGAAAAAAAAAAAAGAAAAAAAAAAAATCAATGCTCGCCTCCCACCCCTCTGCTCTCTGTTTGCGGAGCTGCTCGGAAATCCTGCAAAGCAAAGCACTCTCCCAGCTTTTTAACTTTCTGTAAGCGGTGTTTTCTCCCCTCCCTGGGACTGAGAAACTGCGTCAGCGGTGCTCCTGTCTCTTCTGATTGGGGGGGTAAATTATTGTCATAATCCGGCCCCACGGTAGAACCCACGTGGTGTGTTCAGGCCTCCTGAATAGCCCTTTGTGGAGGTTATTACTGTGTCGGAACAGTGTGTCCATTCAGAACAGGTGTGGAAAGGTAGCTCTCAAGGCCTGCTGTAGCCAATCTGGCTAAATATTAGAAGCTGTTTGGGCAGTAACTTTTAGTGTTGCATCTTTTTGTCGATGTTCCGCTCCGTCCCTATTTCGAAGAGACAGCTGAAGCCTAATTGTACCATAAACGTATGCTAAATATACCTTAATCATATTCCAATCCCAAACTCCAGAGGTGTTCCTATGAACAGAACAGTACAAAGCTAGGAAAGCCAGGTGATTTTTCTGGGTTTCTGTGTTTGACATGGTTTGAATGTATCCATAAATTGTGAGCAGTGAATGATGATACTATGGCAATTTCTGCATTGAGATCTTAAGACATGATGACAGCTTACTTTTGGACACAACTGCTGGTCCCACTCTGAGATTTTTGTTTTTTCCTTAACACTCTCTGAAGGAAGACTTGGAGTAGATAGGAATGCCACATGTAACTCTTCTGCCAATCAGAAGGTATTAATCTTGACACTTGGGCCAAAATGGGTAGTAAAGTCCTCTAGCACCATATTAAAATGTACCACCTGTTTTTTTTTTTCTTCACGCTGCAAATCTAGGTCAGAACTTAGCACAATAAAAAATAACCATACTCTGCTGTTTCAGTAACTCGTAAATAAGAATTCTGTAGTATATGGCGTGAGATTTTTTTAAATGGCTGCGAGTATAATTAGAGTCAGATGCTGAGTGAAAGATTGTGCTAATTGTGGATGTATAGGTCCCGCAGGGATCGGCGATCAGCAGGGGTGTGGGGGTGTCGGTGGGGGGTGAAACAGGACTCTGACGACCCCGTGCTCGGTGATGGACGCTAAGTGGTGGGCGCAGGCTTGGGTTGCCCCCGAGCAGGTTTTTATGAGGTGCTGACAGCTGTAAGGAGCTGTGTCTGATTCCCCCCCCACCCGATGACAGGAGTCATGTGATCTGCAGTGGAGTTGTCACTTATCACACGCTAACCGTGTCTCTGCGTTTGAGGCTACCAGAAATACGGTCTTTCTCTGTGTGTGTGTTTGTGTGTGTGGGTGTGTATGTGTGGGTGTGTGTTTGTGTTGTGTGTAGGTGAGTGTGTGTGTGTGGGATGTGTGCCTGTGTGTGTGTAGGTGTATGTGTGTGTGTGTGTGTATGTGTGTGTAGGTGTATGTGTCTGTGTGTGCATGTGTGTTTTTGTGTCATGTGTAGTCGAGTCTCTGTGTGTGTGTGTGTGTGTGTGTACATGTGCAGGACTCCACAGCTGAAGCAGGTTAATTGCTGTCAGATAATCTTTTTATTTGCGATGAGACCTCGCTCAGCAGCCGCCGGGGCGGTTTATCTGCCCCGGACCGCCGTTACTCCCACTGCCCGCTCTCTGATTGGCCGGCTGGGCCGATAAGCGCGCGGGCGCCGGGGGCGGTAATTGAGCCGAGGACTCGCGGTGATGAATCGCACGTCCCGCTAAAACGTGAGCCGCGTTAGAGAGAGAGAGATAAGCGGTGGAGAGACATCCATTCAGATTCTGTGTCACTTTCCCTCCTCACAATTACGCTCTCCGGTTCCCCCCTGCGCGGGTGGAGAGGGTGTGAGGATGTCAGCCGTGCGCAGGGCGGGGGGCCGGGGGGAGGAGGGGCAGGAAGGTGCTGGCGGCCGCGGCGAACCGGGATTTCACAGCATTAGATCTTTAAGGATATTTACAGTGAGAGATCAGCAGGGATGAGAGGCCATCCTGGTGTCCCGCCGTCCAGCATGGCCTGGATTTGCAGCCCAGTTTTTTTTTTTTTGCAAAGCCGGCGAGCGCTGGCTCTCCTGACATACATACGCCTCTCTCGGCTCTCTCTGCTCTTTCCATGGGGGGGGGCACCGTGGGGCGAGAAACACAGAAGGTGCTGGGCTCCCGACCCGAACATCGCTGGTTTGAAAACAAGGTGGGGTACTGCCATTGCAGATTTCAGAGGAGAAACTACAGCCCTGTAACTGAGTTAAATTCTGTATTGTAAGCCAGCATGGGTTAGTGCATCAGCAACGCAAATGAATGCCCAGGTTTGAGAGAGAAAGGTCTTGATACACTGAGGGCCCAGGTTTGAGAGAGAAGGGTTGAGATGCTCTGAGGATTCAGGTTTGAGAGAGAAAGTTTGGGATGCTCTGAGATTTCAGGTTTGAGAGAGAAGGGCTGTGATGTTCTGCTTCTCTCTGGCTTGTTTGCTTCGCCGGGCTGTCTGTGGCTAAGCGACATGCAGGTTCTGCTGTCACCCTGTGTCCCTGTGGCCTCTCTGCTGCTAAAAGCGCCACCGCGTGTTCCCACAAGGCTAATTTCATGTGCGCTGTGACACAAGTATGCCTAACAGCAGCACAAGTGTGTTATTACAGCTTCCCTGCAGCGCCCGAGGTGTGTGCTCTGGAGGAGAGTGTGGAGGCGAGGTCTCTGTGGAGTATCACAGCATCACAGTTAGCCTGACTGTGCAGGAGGGGCATGTGTTAGAGGAGAGAGGAGTACGTATTAGAGTGGAATCACAGGTGAGCAGAGTTTCTTCTCCTCTGACGCACCATGAATGCTCTGGCGCTATATTGTGGAGAAGGACGATGCAATGCAGGAAGTGTTTGCAAAATGCAAAAGTGTTCTAGAGCAGTGCAGGTACAGTGTTCTAGAATAGTATAGGTACAGTGTTCTGAATGGTGTGGGTACAGAGTTCTGGAGTATCCTATGTACGGTGTTCTAGAATGGGGTATGTGTAGTGTTCTAGAATAGTGCAGACACAGTGGTGTAGAATTGCATGGGTGCAGTGTTCAGGAAGAGCATGGACTCACTGTAATAGAACGGCACAGATACAGTGTTCTGTCTCAGCTCATTTTGTACAGTGTGATGTCACAGCACGAGAGAGGTCCTCAGGAGGAAAGGAGAAGCTGGAGCTGGAACGTGGACTCTGGAGACTGTACTGAGCAAGGCATTCTTCCGTGCCCAGCCATAGACATGGACTGTAAGCATTTTTACAAGCTCAGATGAGCTCCTTTGTCTGACACCTTTAATGAAATCATCCACTATGCAAACGGGAGAGAGGTGATGTTCTGCATTAGGCCCTCTGCACTCGAGAGGGGGGAGTTAGCGTGAGCGTTTTTCTCTGAACCCGAGCACCAAATCTGGCAAATCATCACTTTTGTAATCAAAATTGAAGAGCGCTGGTGTAGAACACCTTGTACTCTTGTACTTGAGTGTGTGTTGTGAGGGCCCTCTTGGCTGCATGCCTTTGATGAAGAGCGTGGCAGATTTCTGCCTTGTGATAGACTCATATTAACCCACCTTCCCTGCCTTCGCGGAACTGGATCTGATGCTGTGACGTCGTGTGCGCTGCACTGCCGCGCCTGTGGCGTCACCACGTGTCGTACGAACCGCACACGGCTGTTCAGGCTGAATCACGGGGCTGACTTTAAAAACAGAAAACAGAAATGTTTTCACCGTTTTGTGGAACAGGAAAAATAATAACAACAAAAAAGCGTGTCACGAATAACAGAACGGGGGAAGTTTCCTCTGTTTTTGTGACGGCTTTTCTTCCACGCCTGTGTCAGACGGTTCCACCAGGTGCCCGTGCCAGACGAAGGGTGCGTACTTGTTTGAATACGATCTGGTCGCAGAACACTGGCGTGGCGTCAGAACAGAAAACGGGAGTCTGGCGTGGGCGGGAACGACTCGTTCGGGGTGAGAGCGTGTCACGATCGACAGGTGGGCTGCGCTTTCTTGTGGCTGCGTCTTATCCTGTCTGAGGCGGCGGGAATATACGTCCGCTGTCGGGGATCGTCTGGTTATGACTGCGAGGGGCATTTTACACCGAGGTGAGGGCGCTTTCGGGTATCGGCTGGAAGTTTTCAGTCACGATGTTTTCAGTTGTTTTCACGAGGAGGCTGAAATGGTTCAGTTTACCCTGTTAGAATAATAGATAGCATTTCAAATTGCGTTAAAGGACGGTGTAGTACAACACATTATTGTCATTTAGCAGATGCTCTTATCCAGAGTGACTTGCACAGGTTACATTTTACATATTATTCATTTATACAGTTGGATAATTGCTGAAGTAATTGTAGGTTAGGTACCTTGCCCAAGGGTACAACTGCAGTGCCCCCGCGGGAATCGAACTGGCAACCTTTGGGTTGCGAGCCCTGCTCCTTACCGCTACGCCACACTGCTGCTGTATTGAGGCGGTTTCCCGTGCAAAGGCTGATCTGCAGTTTGTGCTGAACCATTGAGCGGCACGCGGGCACTGCCTCAGGCTTCAGGGAGAGCGAAGGCCTGGAGTTTCGTTTTCACCGCGAGCGAAAGCTGCTTCCTGTGGGGATGAGGCAGGCTGTGTGCAGGGATACCCTACACGTGGCCCTGTCCCGGCCATAGTCACAACCCTCACTGAAGCGTGAAAATAAGATGGGTGTATTTAATATCGAATTCGTATCGACCTCCGAGCCTCAGTGTGGAGTCACCACCCTGTTGTCTCTCCCTGGGCGCGCATCTGCTGTTACATATATGGTTGTAAGCAGGGGAGCTAACCAGTCCTAGCTGGCTTCCCATCTACCTTTGGCTCACACCCTGCCAGGGTAGCACAGCGGTAAGGAGCAGGACTCGTAACCGAAAGGTTGCAGGTTCGATTCCCCACGGAAGCACTGCTGTTGTACTCTTGGGTAAGGTACTTAACCTACAATTGCCTCGGTAAATATCCAGATGTATAAATGGATAACATGTAAAAACCTCTAAAAAAAAAACTCTCGCTCTGGATAAGAGCATCTGCTAAATGCCAGTAATGTAATGCCTTTTTATTATTATTTGTCTTTTCCACAACGGTACGGATACTGTCTCGGTGTAGCGGTGGCGCTGGAGGCCGTAGGACAGACCCGCGAGAACATGTTTCAGGGTCGCTGTATGTGTTTCGGGGGTTGTGGTAGTGTGAGGTGTCAGCTTCCCGCCCACCCAGGCTGCCCGCTACAGGAAGACGCCTGAACCCTGCAACTCAAACCCCCCCTCCCCCTCCTCTCTCTCTCTCTCTCTCTCTCTCTCTGTCTCTCTCTCCCTCTCTCTCCTTCTCTCTTCCTCTCTCTCTCCCTCTCTCTCCTTCTCTTTCCCCCTCTCTCTCCCTCTCTCCCTCTCTCTCTCTCTCTCTCTCTCTCTTTCTCTCTCTCTCTCGCCTGCTTTCGGGGAGAGGCGGTGTGGTCTGACAGACTCGTCACGGTTTTGCAGCAGACGACGTTCCCACCATTGTTGTGCTGTTGTTCTGCCCGTTGCTTGTGGTGAACCAGTGGTTTTGTTTTTTTTTTTTTATAAATACCAACACTTGGAGAAATTACTGTTAGTTTTTTTTTTTTTTTAAAGTTAATTTTGGTCATGGAAGAAAAACACGAGAGTCAGACAAAAACAGGAAGCGCTGTTGTACTTTTGTTCCTGGAGGTGAAGGTTTTTTGTCAGACTTTTAAGTCCGCTTGCCCGTTGCATAAAGTGTGACTACTCCCTAAATCGTAGGCCCTAAATCTGACACCGAGCGACCGTGGACCGTGTGTTCCACCTTCACGGCTCTGTGCTTCCCATTAGCGGCGAGGGCGAGCCGGCGTCTCCCGGGAGGCGGTGACCTCTGACCCCGGCTATCGAATGTAAATTGAGCCGGATTTCCACCGTTAGCGCGCAGAAGGGAGGAGGGAGGACGATGATGCAGCAGTTTGGCAGACGGTCCCCCAGCGACAGCCACCATCCTGTGGGCTCAGTGTGAATGCTGACTGTGCCCTAGATTTATGGGAACAGCACCCCCGGTGTGTCTGTTTTGGTATTACAAGGACATTTGTGTATGTGATGTCACTAAGGGTAGTCTGGAGTGGTGTGTGTGTGTGTGTGTGTGTGTGTGTGTGTGTGTGTGTGTGTGTGTGTGTGTGTGTGTTTCTTGGCTGATACACTGTAGCAGCTTTAGTGGGGCCTAAAATTCTAAAATTCTAAAATTCTGGGGTATTGTAACTTTTTATTGTCATTCTGTTTTCATTTGTTCTTTCACTGTTTGTTATGTCACCTGAACAGAATCAGTCTGTAGCAGTGTGATGGTCACAGAACTGAGTGTATGTTCACTTGTTGACATAATAAGGGCTTTCCAGGGTGCCCTGTGGGCAGTAGTGTTACCTGGGTGGGTCAGGTGGGTTGGGCAGGCTACAGTACAGGGACTGCAGAGGAGCTGGAGCCAGTACTGCTGACTGTTCAGCCAGCATGCGCTGCTGCTACTGTAGCTTCCTCATCACAGTATATTCTGTAACTGTTTATATTCTGTAACTCTTTTTTTTCCCCTGTGTCTGACATGATTGTGATGTGTGATTTATGATGCACTTTACTTAGCTGCTGTCCAGTGCGTTTGCTAATGCAGAGAGAGGGAGAGATGAATTAGTAGGAGGCGTGGGTTCACACAGGAGCTCGATAGGGTCCTGTAATGAGATGCAGTCTGATCCTCAGGGTGTGTCCTTGCGGGGGGCCCGCGTGCATGTGCATGTGCATGTGCGTGTGTGCACGTGTGTGTGTGCACGTGTGTGCGCGCGTGTGTGTGCGCGTACATGTGTGCGTGCGTGTGTGCGTGCGTGTGGCGTAGTGGGACAGCAGTGTTTTTAATGAATGCATATCCTGTTTCAATAACACTCGGCCCACGGAGTGGCTGAGGATGTCTGCGGGTGTGTGGTAGAGTGCCAGGGCAAGGAGGACTACCCAAGCCCATCACCCTCGCAGAACTCCTCTGTGAGAGGCTCTCTGTGACCTTCAGATGGTCTCAGCCTTCTTATGTTCTTTCCTTCCCCACCCCCAGAATACCCCGGTACTCACTAATTACTCACCCATTATTACTGTTCACCTGTTGGGGGGTGCGGGGGGGGAGGCCGTGGGGGGGCCCATTCCACTGCCATCTCACCTGTCATCTCCAGCGACACCAGAGATCTTATAGCCTGGGGAGGGGCTTCAAGGTCCCAGTGCATTGTGGGAGCCAGAGAGCCTCAAGGGATCATGGGATTGTGAAGTCACAGCAGCATGTTCCCCAGCAGAGCTCTGGGTCACTGAGCGGAAAGAAGGGAAAAAAAAAAAGGAGGGAAAATTGGCATGCGCATCAATAGGGCTTCTTGTAGCGTTTGGGGTCAGATTAATGAAATTGGCTCCAGTTTGGAGAACTTCCCCCCTCGGTGCGTTGGCCGTCGGGCCTCTAAGTGCCGGACAGGGGCCAGTGTTTGCCCTCGGAAACTTCTGGACATCCTGCGGCCTGTCGGGGTTATTTGTATACACTTAGGCTCTGTGGTGCGCCTGTGTGTTTTGTGCCGCCCGGTGTTTGTCAAAGGGATCTGAGGGCCCCGGTCTCGGAAGGTGGAGGATTCAGCGCTAATCGCCAGGCCGAGCGCTTCCATCAGATAAGGGAGACGCCTGGCTCCGTCAGCCCTGGCACTCGCCCCTGCGGTTCGGCCTGGTGGGGGGGGGGGGTGTCGGTGCCGTGGCAAGATGACAGCGGCCGAGCAAGATGCAAGCTTGTCGGGTCATCCCGCCAACCAAAGGTCGCCGCTTACAGCTGATTAAAGATAGCTGTGATTGGCTGGTTGTGTTTCCGTGCCAGAGTTTACCTGTGTCAGTTGATTAAAGATAGCTGTGATTGGCCGGCTGTGTTTCCGTGCTAGAGCTTATCTGTGTCAGTTGATTAAAGATACCTGTGATTAGCAGGTTGTGTTTACCTGCAAGAGCAGCATAATGCACATGATTATTTAGCTGGTACGTGGGGTAGTCTGTGACACTGCTGATCAGGTAGAGTAGATGTCAGCAGCTCAAAGGTAGACTGAGGTGGGCTAGTTGTACAGTGAAAAAACAGTTGGACAGGGTGGTGTACAAGACATACCATAATGGAGGGTTTTTAAAGAGGTAACTGAAGGACTCAAAGATCTTTCTCTCCAAGTTTGCAGTCCATGATGCCTTTAGGGGTATGTTCTCCAATGGAAGGAGAGGCCCAGAACCAGATCATAAGATCCCAACTGATTTTGATTAGTTTGATCTCAATATCATGCATCAGACAGCCAGGCACTGAAATACGATTTGTCTCATATTCTGTGTTCATTGGTGTCCTGAAAAGGAAGCCGCATTTTCCTCTCTCTGCCTACAGTTTCAGGTTTTCTGGCTGTGTCTGGGCGTGGTGGTCTGAGGGGGTGTATTGTTTCTCGTGTCTCTGACTGTGCTCTCGCCTGCACCCGTATCTCCTCTCTCTCTCTCTCTCCCTCCCTTCTCTCTCTTTATCTCTCTCTCTCTCTCTCTCTCTCTCTCTCTCTCTCTCTTTCTCTCTTTCTCTCTCTCTCCCCGTGTGATGCTGTAGGCGCAGTGTCAGTTGTCAAAAACGGTGTCGAGATGACTTCCTGTCGCTGACCACTTCCTGGACTCGAGGGCATGTGCTGCGGTTTCCATAGCGCTCATTGTTGGCCCCGCCGCCCCCGCGCTACGAGCGAGATGCGTGGGTGGGGGAGAAAGAAGGCGCTTTCTAAAAGTAGCACTTCCTCCTTCTATATTTATCTCGTTTTTTCCCCTCCTTGCTTTGTCACTCATCACCTCCTTTGTGTCCTTTTTCCCTTCTCTCTCTTTCTCTCTCTCTGTCCTCGTCTCGGGGTGTTATCTCAGTGTCTTGCGTGTGTTTGTGTTAATTGTGCTTGCCCTCCAATAAGGCCTGTGTTTGTTTTCCAGTTGTTTGCCACCACGCCGTTTGTCTTATTACCCCGTGATTTCCTGCCGGAAGGTTCTTTCACGGCAGCGCTTGCGTAATAGCTCTGGCTATGGATCGCTTGTGAACTGTGCCACTCACGGTGTGATACACTACTGTGTGTCTCTCCTGGGGGGGTCGACATTTTCTGGGTCACTTTCTTGAGCAAATGACAGCTGTGTTCCTTACCTTTTAAAAAAGTCTTTAAGAGTCTATTAGAGCTGACTGAAAGGTCAACAGAATCCCCCCCGTGCAATCTTTGGGAGATGGGAGATCTCGTTGGGATGTGTGAGAGACAGTCAGTAGGGCTACGGTGAGAGGGTTGGGCGTGACGGTGCGCTGATATCATAGCTGCAGTGAAGGCAGGGATTGTCTGAAAGCCGTGCGAAATGAGGGAACGGAAATCTGCACGAGGATGACAAGAATTCCAGTGACACCCAAGTCATTGGCAGCGTGGTGGAG